AAATCATAGGCACCAGCCAGCTAATAGTTTCTTTATTCCCTCTCTTCTGATTCACTCCTACAAACATACATTCTCACCACGTATTTTTAATTTAATTTACTTTGCTTTAATTTTGTTTTAGTATATTAGCATATGTGTACAGTATATAACATTTACATTTCTCATGTGGAGTTGGTACGTGTACATAATACATCTCAATTGCTTTTTTTTATCACCTATTGCTCCACTCCTTCTCTCTTCCCTCCATCTCTCGATTTTCCTCCCCTTTGAGAAAGACCTACCTCTCTATTTCCTGTTATCTTTTATTTTGCTGTTTATCTTTAAGTTTCTCATATTAGAGAAACCATGTGATATTTAAGCTTATGTGCCTAATTTATTTCACTTAACCTTATGTTCTCAAGTTGCATCTATTTGTCTAAAACTTTATCTATCTTTATGGCAGAGTACTACCTCATTCTGTGTGAATACCACATTTTCTTTACCCATTCGTCTTTGGATGGAATATAGACCACTTCTAAGACTTAGCTATTTTGAATTGTATTGCTATATACATGGGCATGCATGTATCACTGTAATACATGTTCTTAACTCGTTTGGGATGATACCTAGAAAAGGAACAACTGGGTCAAATGGAATTTCTACATTCAATTTTTTGAGGAATCTCTATCCTGATTTTCATATTGGTTGTACTAGTTTACATTTCCACCACCAGTGTAGAAAGGTTCCTTTTTCCTCACAGCCTCACCAATATTTGTCATCATTTGAGTTCTTGATGATGGCCATTCTTTCTGGGGTAAGGTGGAATATCAGTGTTGTTTCAATTTGAATTTCTCCAATGGCTAATGATATTGAGAATTTCTTCATGCACTTATTGGCCATTTGTATTCCTTTTGTGAAATGTCTATTCATTACACCTGCCCTTTTTTGGATTAGGTCTTTTATTTTGGGGAGGGGGTCTAATATTTTTGAATTCTTTATATATTCTGGATATTAGTCTTCTGTCTGAGGAATAGCTGGCAAAAATTTTTCCCATTCTCTAGGTTGTCTTCACTCTATTAGTGGTTTCCTTGACTGTGCAGAAGCTTTTTAATTTGTTATGGTCCCATTTGTCAGTTGTTGGTACTATTTCCTGTGCAGTGGTATTCTGTTCAGAAAGTCCTTGCCTACACCTAAGACTTCAAGAGTTCTAGCTATTTTGTCTTCTGCATGTTAAGCGTTTTTGGCTTAAACTTTAGTTTTTTGATCCATATTGATTTTAGTTTAGTACATGGTGGGAGATATGGGTCTAGAGTCTATATTCTGCATGTGGATATCCAGTTTTCCCCACAGCATTTATTAATGAGTTTATCTTAATTATAATAATATAATAATAATAATAATAAAATGCTTGAGATTGTTTCTGCATCTTATGTTTTGTTCTACCTATCCTTGTGTCTGTTTTTTGTGCCAGTACCATGCTGTTTTTATCACAGCAGTTATGTACTGTAACTTCAGGTCTGGCATGATGATGCCTTCTGATTTGTTCTTTCTACCTAGAATTGCTTTTGCTATTCTAGGTCTCTTCTCATTCCATATGAATTTTAAGGGTTGTTTTCTCCAGTTCTGTGAGGGATACTGTTGAAATTTTGATTGAGATTGTGTTAAATGTGTATATCAATTTTGGAAGTACAGCTGTTTTGACTATACTGGTTCTACCTATCCAGGAACAGAAGATATCTTTCCATTTTCTGATATCCTCTTTAATTTCCTTTTTCAGAGTACTTCAGTTTTCATTGTAGAGGTCTTTTATTTCCTTAGTTAGATTGATTCCTAAGTATTTAATTTTTCTTGTTGCTGTTGTGAATACTTGTTCTTTCTCTTTCTCTCATTCTCTCTCTCTTGTATTATATATATTATACATGCTATATGCATACATATAATACAGTCACTTGCTTTCTTTCTCAAATGTGTGATGCTACTACCTTAGATATTTTTCATAAATGCCATTCCTTTAGATTCTGATACTCTCTGTCCACATAACTGTCCATTTATACCCTATACCATATACTTCTAAAGATGTGACTGAGAGGTTTTAGAATGCTTTTCACAATTACATCTGATCACTCTCCTCCCATTCAATGTCTTGTAAGCATGTATAGTCCATTTGTATTTTCAGTTGTTGATCCACATGTGTCTTTAGGCTGTTTTCTGTATTGATTTCCTGTTACTTCTAATGGTGATATAAACATGCTGACTGCAACGGCCTAGCCTGATTTCTTTACTCTTCCTACAATACATAGAATTAGACTCTCTACTTAGGTGCTCAATACATGTTACTGACTTTTTGTTATTATTCCCTAATTATAACCAATGATAAAAATCATATTCACTTTTACAGTTGCCAGTCAAGGGTGCCCACATAGGTCTTGATGCAGGTTTTATCTACCATCTTTAGTCAAACATGCAATAATCAGGAAGAAGAGATTATAGTACTGGTTACACACTTAATTCTGTATTTTTACTGCAGTTTAATTTGGTACATATTGAGCACCTCAAGTTTACTGAGCAATATGCTAAGTGTTCCATCCCAGTTATTCTCAAATTCCTGCATATAGCAGAATCCCCTATAGGTCTTGTCAAAACCCAGATCATTGGCCCTACTCCATAGTTTCTGACTTAGTAGATCTTAGATGGGGTCAAAAATTGTGCATATCTAACAAATTCCCAGATGATGTTGATGCTTCTGGTCCAGAGATCATACTTTGAGTAATGATCAGGGGTAGATAGAGTGGTCTAAAATGGCATGGTATCTCATTTGAAGGGATGTAAAGTGGGTTTGGAGAGGCAGTGCAGACCTAAGAAACATTTAACAGCAGAAAATACAATGCTTTAGAATTCATTCATTCATTCGACAAATAGTAAATGAGTACTATGTGCGCATTACTGTAATAAGATTATATCAATGAACACAATAGACTAAAATCTTATTCACATGGAAAAATTCTAGTGGAGAAAAACAGAAATAAAAATATATAAAAATAGAAGAGAGTAATAAGTACTATGGAGAAAAAGCAAAGAGAGAGAATAAGAAATATTACAAAGATTGAAATTTTAGATAGAGTGGTTAGAGAAGAGTTTCCAGTCCCATCATTTGACAAATATTAGTTAAATGATTAGTGTGTATCAGAAATGGCTAGAGATGCTGGTTTCATATCACAAAGAACAAACCCTGCCTCATAGAATTTGGCAGCCAGGAAACCTAAAGTATTGGTGTTAATTCTCACAAATTCATTCTTTCACTATGAATGCGTACTGCCCTGCTCTGAGCCTTGGTTTTTCCATCCGCTAAATGCAGCAGTCAAACAAATTTACACCTGAAGTCCTCTGCATTTCTTAGTGCTACCAGATAGGAAGCACTTCAGCCAGTCAGCAGTATATGTGGGTTTGAAGAATACTTTGTAAAGAAAGTACTTTAATGATCTTCATAGTATAGGGAAGCTATGAAGCATGTGAGATGGGAAGATAATTTCATAAGAAAAACATAAAGCCATGGACACATCTTTAGTCCCAGCTACTTGGAAAGCTGACTCACAAGAACTATTTGAGGGCAGGCGTTCAAGACCATCTTGGATGACAAAGTAAGGCCCCATCTCAAAATTAGATAAATAAATAGGAAGAACTAAAGCATAGAGGCAAGAATGGGCATCACATGTTCAAATAAGAACCCGGGAGATTAAAGTTCTCATAGTAGTATAGCGGAGAGATGGATAGAAGGTAACTAGGTGTTCAGTGAAGATGACGTGGGGGCTGATTTTACAGTCTTCAATGGGAACTCATGCAAGGTTTTGATCAAGTAATAATGTGATTATACAGTCAAAGTGATATTTTAAGTGTAACCCTGCAATTACAATTAAATCTTTAAGGCTCATAATTTTTTCCATATTTCCTTTGAATCAGTAAAGGTTAAAGTCATACTCTGTTATAAGTGACTGCTCAATTCTAATATTACCATCAAACTAATTTTCAGGTCTTTTCCAAGCAACTAAGAGCCAATGGTATCACAATCATTTCCCTAACAGTACCACTACATTCTTGACCCACTAACGTGTTAGAATTAAGTTTTAGGTCTTTGAAACTGTAACAGAAAATTGTTTATATGTGTACTTTTCTGTGTTTCTTGTATCCTATGAAATATCTGGTTGAATATTGTGTTTATCTTCAGCCACATACATACTTTAAATGGCATTCACTTAGAGTGGTGCCAATATCTCTACGACCAAGCTTTTCCCATTTGCTTACTTAGTCATGGGTAATAGGTTTCTTGGAAATTATCCAATTGTTCTTTATTTTAGTTAGTTGAGGAATATCTGAGTCTGTTGTATTCTCTTGCTCCCAAAGCTTAAAGTACAGTCCTCCTCATAAAAAAAGTTTCTCTAAAAGACAGAAATGACAAGGGTTTGCTGTCCAAAGAGTAGGTCCCATAGGCAGAGAAAAGTGTGTCAGGCAAAAATAAAGGAGGGCATCTTGAATATTTGTTATGTAATTACTATAATCATAGGAAGTTTCACCTTAACATTCAATTAACTCATAACTTCTCAGAGACATGATGGTGAACTTAACAACTCATGACAGACCAAATCCTCAAAATTCACTGTTTAAGGTTAGTTTAAATACAAGTTATATATGACCTGCAAAATATTTAACTGTCACCAGAATAAAATAAACAAATATGATAGGCATGGCCATATTAAGGTGGAAAATGACTATTTTCTCTCTTATTTTCCAAATTCTGGATAATATTGCTAGGTCATTCATTTAGAAGTGGCAACTGTATTCAGAGTCATTTTGAACCATGAGGCACACCAAGAGATATCTTTCAGCACTGTGTCTTTAAGAACAGGCCTAAGAGTTAAAACATCTGAGCACTTTGGAATTATACTACTGAAAATGTGGCTGGGTCACAAGGGTAATAGTTTTCTATATATGTATGATTTTTTTCTTTATTCCTATTTGATAAACAGGGGATGGAGAGCTGTCGTGGGAACATTCTGATGGTGACATCTTCCGGCAACCTGCCAACAGAGAAGCAGTAAGTGTCAATAGCTCAAATACTGCAATCCAACACGCCACAGTATCAGGCATAGCTTTCTTCTCCCCATGACTACTATCCCAGCCAATCCAAAAGGGGCCCATTTCTACCACCATTTTTCTTCCTCTTCCTTGGAAATTTGAATGACGTCATCACCAACCCATGAGCACTTAAGAGCACTTTATAATTGATAACTAGAAACAGGCCATAAAAACAAAGAAGTCACACCCCCTTCATCTGCATCAGAATCTGGTACTCTGGGGATGAGTTGCCAAATCATACATCTTTTGGTAGGAAGGCACATCACTGCTTCTCTTCTCAACAGTAAAAATCTTCTATGAGAGGATCTTCTGCTAGGTTTGTACACTTGTCCACTCCATCCTTTTGTGAGACTTGGTGGGTATTTTGGACATAAACCTTCCCAAAACCCTTAAGGCTTTTGATCATAGAATTAAAAGAAAAGAAAGATAGTAGGCCAGATCCTCCACCCTTCATCCTGTGATATCTCACTTATGTTATCAGTGCTAGTCTCAGAACAAGCTTCACAAGTCAGTGTCTGTATATGTACAATAGAAGTATCTTTTGTTCCTTTGTATTTTGAGGCAAACAGCAAAATAGAACCCCTCTCTTATAAAATGTATGGTTAAGAAGAGTTAGAATTCAGACATCTAAAATTCTAAAACTGTTTCAGTTGAAAGAATGAATCAGATTAAGGGCCTTATAAAAGTGTACAAAATGTAGAAAGGTGTTCATTACACATAAATTGGTGTTCATTACACTCTTGTACAAGAACCATACTGGGAAATTTATAACAGCATTGGTTTTATAAGAATAAGAAACAAATAGAGACAACCTAATTAACTATTAAAAGATGCTTTGTTAAATACACCCAACTGATGGGACACTCTGTTTGCTATAGTGAATATGGTATATCTGAATGTAGTAAAGTAGAAAGAATTCAGAGACATATTATGTAGTAAAACAAGATGCTTTCCTTCTGTAAAAACTATGTGTGCATGTATAAAATGCATGTAAAAAGATCTGGAAGGTCACACACAAACATGTTAAGAGTGGTAATATTAGAGGGATAGATATAGACAGGAGGAAAGGTCGACTTTGACCTTTCACTTTGTCTTCTGTACTATTTGATGTTTTCCATAAACATGAATTAGTTTTGTGATAAATGAAATTTAAATGATTTTCTAAAACTTTAGGAATTTGTTCTCAAATAGCACTGCAGGCAAGACAGGAGCCTAAAAAGTTATACAGCAGGCCTGAGGACAGTGAGCGTTGCAGAAGGGGCTCATAGGGTAGGAAGTTGTGTGCTGACACAAATATGACCATGTTGTCTCAGCTGGGCTTCCTGGTCATCCTATGGGCAACTTCTACTTTACATGCCTCCAGCTTGCCAACACTCAACACAGTCTCTGTTCTGAGATGAAATACTTTCTATTTGCTTTATTCTTTAACACCATTGTTTTTAGGCCATTAATATTTCTGAATGCGTGTAGAAGGATTGCAAGAGGAATGTAAAATAGTACTCTGAACACTTCGGGGAAAAAGACAATTTTTCATAAGAGAGGGCAGGCTTCTTAGTTGCTAGTTAATATAGATTCCAAGGAAAGATTTCCTTCATCTACCTCTGTCTGCTTTATACTGAGATTCCTTACAGATCCTAACAGATAATGGTGTCAGTTTCAGTATTCTGTCTTGTGCATTTTCTTTTTATCTCACTCCAAGTTTTTTGGTTTTTCTTTGCAGTCAGAAATTTAGAGTGGTGAAGTATGACTGGTAATCAGATGCCATTCCAAAGGAAACTTAGGGGTCAGTCACCTTAAACTGTTAGGCATCCACAGTAAGCACTTTGAGCCCCTTAGCAGTCTTGCTGGTAATACCTGTAATTAGCCTTTGTTTTTCACTGCATTTCATACTACGACCAACATCATCTCTTGTTTTGTTGGCTTCATTGTACTTACTAAACTACTAGAGATAGGAAAGGGCTTAATGCAGGACATTTTGTAGCAAAACAGATCAGATACAGAGTACAGGACATTGAAATTGATTTTCAGCAAAGTTCAAGAGCTATGTTTAGAAACAAAACTTTAAGATCAAAATGGACAGATGGTTCCTCTTTATTATGATATTTTCCTTTGTTCTGAAAGGGATGGATATTGTGGGATATGATTCCAACAATAAATCGTATCTGGAGCAATGGAAAAGTTGGAATATGGAGTAAGTGCCCAATAAAGATACGTTAAATGAATGAGTGTGGAAAGTAGCATGGCATATGTAGGGGTGGGGCATGAAAGGAGGGGGTTTTCACATATTTTTATGCACAGGAGTTTTTCTCAGAGAAATTCTTCAAATATATTCTTTGCTCTTGACTATGGTAAAGTAAGAAGATAGTAGGATCCCTGCTGAATATTCTTTGCATGCCCAGTTTGTTGCATGGGAGAAAAAAATAATACCATCAACAACACATTTCCTAACCGGTAGACTGTTTAATTTATAGGGAACTATCAAAATTTCCCTTCTATAGATACATGGCTGATGGGGTTATTTTGCCAAATGGGCAGAAAAAGATCAGCTTATCAAGTTTTATGAAGTTGAGTAAAAAGGTGAACCAGTCATTTAAGCATGTCTCATTAGTTAAAACCTTAAACAGTTTTTGCTTTCCAGGTCATAATTTCATATGAATTGGCCTATGTACCATTGGAAGGGGCATGTGCTATGTGAGTGTGTGTGGTATGGATGTAAGAAGGGAGAAGCACAGGCACAAGGTGGAAAGCCAAAACATGAGAATAAACATGGTCTTGTTTTGGACAACAGCCAGACTCTGTGTTCTGCCCCTTAGTAAATTATAGTGGTGCCTTGGATCACGAATGTGGCAAAAGACATAAGAATGAATTTACCTCATAAGGTCAACATTGAACCTAAACATTGGATTTGATTTGGTTCTCATCCAATTCGATTTACAAGCAGAATCATGGAAAGAATTAAGTTTGTGAACTGAGATACCACTACCGTACATTGAAATTTGCCACTAGAAAAGTGAAAGAATTTGGGATAGAAACAACATGAAATGAATAAAAGTCCTTGCCTCATTCACATTGGCAGAACAATGGCTTGGGAAGGAAACTGGTCTAAGTGTCTTCTGGCCAGGTACTGTTCTAAGTTAGTAGTGACTAAAATAAAATGTTTTCATGAGTGTATGCATTAAAATACATTCTGAAGACACTTTTAAAATTGAACTTTTAAGTCAAAAATTAGATTCCCCAGAATAAAAAAATCAGTGAAATAATGCACAACCAAAATGAATAGATGCTTCTCAGAAGAAAAAGTACAAATGGCCAATAAATACATTTTTAAAATGTTCATATCACTGGCCATGAGAGAAATGCAAATTAAGACTACACTGGTACAATCTTACCCCAGAAAGAATGGCTGTCATCAAAAAATCAAATAATGCACATGCTGGTGAGGATGTGGCTGAAAAGACACTTCATTGTTGGTGGGAATGTAAACTAGTACAACCAGTATGGAAATCAGTGTGGAGTTTTCTCAAAACACTAAAAATAAAAATTACTTTTGACCCAGCTATCCCCCTTCTAGGTGTCTTCTCTAAAATGTTAAAGCCATCATATTACAGGGATACATGCATACCCATGTTTATAGCAACACAACCCTAGCAGTTGCAGCTGTAAATAGTGTAACCAAACATCTTTTAACCAAATGTTTATGACACACTTTCTTCTCTTCCTCTTCTTTCTCAAATCACCTCCTACTCTCCTTCCTCGCCCACTCCCATTCACCTAACCTCTCCAAGAACTCAACCTTCATGATCATCTGCAATAATCACCTTCCCCCACGCCAGTTTCAGTTTCTCGTCTTTCAAACAAAAGACTGCAAAAAGGTGAGGTTTTGGAGGCTGACTAGTCTGCTATACGTCCTCTGATCAAAATTCCTGGGGCCGTTATTTTTTGTCTTGAATCATTTTCCTACCATACCAGTCCCTGGAACTGAAGAAGAGCTTTTCATTGTGTGCCCACCACCATGAATCAGAGAACTTCTTGTACTTGGAACTTATCCTAGGACAGCGACCTTTCCTTTCTAATCCCATCCTTGACAAACTCCTGTCTTTTAGCATCAGTATGACACGCACCAGCCAAACTGTCTTCTCTGTGTTCCTTTGGCAAAACTTTGCCAAACTCCACAAAGGTCAGAACAATCTGTAATGGCCTTTGTGGAATGTGAATGATTATGACAGAAAAGACATATGAGCCGTTGTGGGATGAAAAGTATTTGCACTGTGGAGCCTGTGTCCATGATAACAAACTGATGCAGGTTCTTCTTTCTGTGAATTTTTATAGCAATGCACCAGGATTGGCTCTTCTTAGATATACAGAATAATGTGCTCTTTCAAAATGCTATGAAAGGTCCTCTTACTTTCCAGCTCCTGTTTGCTCTTCCTTCCTCCCACTGGGAAAGCAATATTAATTCCAAAAACTAAATTAGCAACATGTGTGGCTATAACTTTAGTAAATGTTTTATGGGATAGTGAGGTCAGAGGACCCTGTAACTATCTTCCCAAGGCTACTTGCTACTTCCATCACTGAATATAAGGATCTTCCTTTCTAATTGCCTGTGAAAGAATTCTTAATGCTTTTCCCCTCCTTTCTCCCTAACAATTACCTCTAAAAGACAGTTAATATATCTGGCTGTAAGCCTTAAAATTCCATTCTTCCTTCAGTCCACGCTCCTTTACCTACACCTTACTTCAGCATGGGGGAAAGGGAGAGGTAGCAGAATAGTGAGGTCATTATGTGTTTTGAATCCTTGAAAGAAAAATGATTGAAGACCATGGTTTCATTCATCCAACCCGTATTTGATGAGCACATTCTAGATCAGTGATGGTGAGCCTTTTAGAGCTTTTAGTGATGACAAAGAGCCCTCTGCAGTGTGTGTGCCATGGGTTCACCACCACTGTTCTAGATTCTAGACAGTGTTCTAGGCACCGGAGATATAGGAGTGAACACCACAAAGTCCTTGATCTGTAGTCCTTATATTCTAACACTATTGTGTATGGCTTATAAAATGTCCATCTATAAAATGCAATGCTGAATGATGTCATGCTACTGCCTCTGTTTGAAGTCCCTGTGTAGTTTATTGAGACTACATCTGACTCCCATCTTTTCCTCCTCTCTAGTTTTCCTCCTCTCTATACATTATTAGGGTTCATTGCTTTGAAACACAGTTCAGATTAAGTTACTTCTCTACTTAAAAAAATTCCCTCAAAGGCTTCCACACTCCCACCTCTGTCACTTACCAAATAAAGTATCCCTTAACTTGTCATTTAAAGTCCTCCATGATCTGGCTCCAGCCTCCTTTGGAATGTTATTGTTCAACTGTTCCCTTTTATGGACACTGTTCTCTGCTACACCTTCTGAACTTGAAAACCTCTGCCTAGAATATTTCCCACAAACTGAGAGAAAAAAAAAAAAACATATCCATTCTTCTCCTCCTTGACTAACAACTCTCTTACTCATCCCAATGATGCATATAGCACTTTAGGCTTCTCCTGTGGCCTCTGTCACCATTTGCCTTGTGTTGCAGACGACTATTTTAACTCTAAACTGGAAAGTGTGGACCTCAAGAGCAGAAAGAACACTTTAGCCCTTTTGGTTGTTTTCTCTTTCAGGAGTTTATCTATGAATCTAACCTGCTTTCACATGGTCACATCCATGCTTCTTGTGGTGTAGGAGGACATGCAGTTAAAGTCAGAGTTCATCACTAAATGTCAAACTTATCAAATGGCTTCTAATGTATATAACTCAGTCTCTGCAGTCACACTGGTGGATTGCTTTTAGACCAAATTTGTTCTTATCATTTTATAGAGACACTCCTACCACCGCTCTCACTATGATCCTCCACCAAGCCGACAAGCTGGAGGATTGCCCCGCTTTCCTGGGGCCAGAAGTCACCGGGGAGCTCTTATGGATTCTCAGCAGGCATCTGGAACTATTGTGCAGATTGTCATCAATAACAAACATAAGCACGGACAAGGTAAGTGGCATCTTCCTTTTGTACTGCGTCTGTATCAGAGTCTTGGCACCCTTGTACTTATGAGGCCTGGAGCTGAAAGAACCTTTTCTCCTTTGAATGCACAATATTCACATGATCACTCACTAATAAGTCTACAAAGTGAGCATGAACAAGTGACTCCTGAGGATTCTTAGGACTTTCCTAAATGCAGCCAATGAAGCATAATAAAAAACCCTTTGTGCTTGCAAAGCAACCTCTAGCACTTTCTCAACTGTCTCTGGGGTTTGGAGATCATTCGGGAAAATTCCTTGGGTCTTTAGCAAGTAGATCATGAAATATTCAAAGGGAATCAGTGCCAAACACTTCCAAAGTTCTTATCTAAGCCTTAGCAATAGCCTTCCTCAAACCTCAGTGCACCCCAGATTCTCCTGGGGCTCCTTGGTTTTGGGTTTTTTTTTTTTTTTTCTCTTTTTTTTTGGTTTTTTTTAAATTTTTCTCCGGTACCAGGAACCGAACTCACGACCTTGCGCTTGCCAGGCAGGCGCTTTGCCACTGAGCTAAATCCCCAGCCCCTGGGTTTTTTTTTTTTCTGTTTGCTTTTTGGGAGTTCATTTGTCTTTTTGAGACAGGGTCTCACTATGCAGTGCAGGCTGGCCTTGAACTCACTTTGTAGCGCAGGCTAGCCTCAAACTCACAGCGATCCTCCTGCTTCAGCCTCCTGAGTTCTGGGATTACAGACATGTGCCACGACACTCAGATGGCTCCTTGTTAAATGTTCCTGGTCCTGTACTCAGAGATTCTGGTTCGACATGTAGCTATGAGGAGACTGTCCTTCAAAATGAGTAATCAAGCAAGAAACCACCTGGCAGAGTACCAGGATGACTGATCAGGTTAGCTCAGACCTGCAGCCCACTCAGGCAACCAACTGACTACAGCAAGCACCAACATTTATCGATGGACCCTGCTTTCTCCCACACACAATTTTCTGGCCTCCACCAACCCAATCTTGGTAGCAGAGCTGGGAGGAGAAGTTTTGTAAAACCACTAACTGGTCCTTATTTTTTAGGGATCCTGTCGACCATCTCTTTGGAGCAAGAGCTGAGCTAGGTCCTTTTTATGAAACCACAAACATGTTTTGTTTCCCTTAAAGGAAACACAAATTAAAGTCTGTTCTCTGAGCGGGTTAAAGTAGTAAACTGTTAAACTAAATGATTAAATAACATGGGTGAAAAACAATTCACTCTGAAGAATTCCTAGTATCTCAAAGCTAATCAAGCCAAAGCTAATCGATCACATCTGTTACTGGTTAGCTGCAAATTTCAGATTACAGATTTAAAAATTAAATTGCTTTTGAACCCTACAGGCTTATAAGAACAGTCTAAATAAAATTATTAATACATGGCAGTATATTAAAAGAATTGGAACTATTTAGTTATTATTTTTAAATCTCAGGATATTCTGATACGAGTTTATAAAATGAGGAAGAGTTGGATAAAGATGCTGTTTGATTTTCTATCCTAAATTTTTCTTCATAGATTCCATTTGCTCCGAAAGTATGTCAAAACCTTTCTAAAAATGTGTGGAAATGACCTTTTTATATCAAAATCTCCTAATGTCTATAAGGCCTCTTTATTTTCAAGGTAGAGGCTCATCCCTTGGTTGTCTCTGTATCCTGCAAAAGCCCCAGCTGGTTTACATTTATTCATCTGCCCCCATCAATTTGGATGCAGCAGTTCTTTTCTGACCTTTCTGTTACAGTTCACTAGAGAATCATTTATCTCCACCCCCAGCTCCCAACTCCCCAGCTGGAAGATTCAAACTCATCTGAGTATTTGTTGCTGGGGAAAAGGCAATATTTCCCTCTAGATAATTGACCTCACTGTATTCTGCTGCAGAGTGTGTCCTCTCATCTAACCTGGACTGTTCCCTCAGCCCGAATGTTTAGGAGACAGGGTGCCCAGCTATTTGACACTGGGAGTCCTGTCTGCCTTGCTACTCAGCAAAGTTCACCCTTCTCCCTAACTCTTTTGCTAATGATGCTATATTCTCAAGTCTAACTACTTGGTTCCTTATTAGATTCAGAGAGGAGAAGTCATAGTACTCTACCATTTTGTTTGATCCTATCCATCCTGTGTACCTCACAGTTTAGGTATCAAGTCTCTATGCTGACTCAATGGAAGGTTGGTGCCTTCTCTGGTTTAGGTACTTGGAAATCTTGACATGGGCTGACCGGTTACAGTGCCCAGAATTCCTGCAGCTTTTGCAAAGGAGAATAAAAGGCCAACATCATTCATATTTCTTAATGTGACCCAGTGGACTTGATGAGAAAGAAATAGCTCAGTGATTCATCCTGAGCCTGCTGTCTTGCAGCCAAATCAGTCAATTCCTAGAAACGCCCCAAGTGGGGCTATTTCTACCCCCCTGCCGCACCCAAAGTAATACAACCCGCCCCAGAGATGTTGTTGATTGGGATGCTGACAAGTCTCCCTGGGTGTGATGAGATGATGGGAATAATGAAAAACACACCCAGACTCAGTCATGGCTTGCACTCTCCAAAAGGGATAGAACTCCTTCTCAGATCTTCCCATTCACAGCCCTTTCAATTTCATATCCTAGAGTCTAGTGCCATGCTTTACTATAGCAGCCTAATAAATTTGGGTTTGATGTAGTGGAAGGATGTTCCTGTGTTCTCTCCTCTTCATAGGCCCCTTGGCCTGAAGCCCAGATACTTCTTCTTGCCTTAAAAAAAAGCACTCAACAAATTCCAGAGTGCCTAAAGATATCTGTGGCGCACACAGTGATTCTCTGTAGTCAAATGCCCACAACTATTACAAGATTGGAAGCTGAAGAAGTTGTCTGAGGGGTAGAGGCATGAAAGGCTACCCCTTCACAATTACCCAAGAGGCACACCCCTCTCAGTTTTGTCTTGGTACTACCCTTGCCACACGAAAGAGTACACCAGCAGAGTTAAGGTCTGTACCTGTCATTGTCACATTCTCATTTTCAAGACAAAATACTCAACACCCACAATTGAAAGTAGGAAAGATTTATTTTGGCTCACAGATTCAGAAGCTTCCATCTGTGGTTGGGAGGGTCAAATGCAGAAATGGCATGATACAAGGGCCTGCCCTCTAGGAAAGCCACTCACATAGTGGTGGCCAGGAAGGAAGAAACCCGGGAGGGAAATGGACCTTTTCAGGTCACACACCCACCCCCAGCGACCCACCCTGCCGGCAACCTGCACTGCCTAACAGCAAATTTACCTGTGGATTCATCAGTGGACTGGTGAGTATAGTGCTCCCACGATTCAATCACTTTCCCAAAGCCCCACCTCTGAACGAATGAGTCTTGTGGAGGATATTCCAGACCCAAACCATAGCAATATCAATCTGTGATGGTTTGTCATACTCTCATAGCACTTGACATTCTGAATGGATTTGCTTCATGAAACTATAAATGTATCTCCATGCCGATGATGGGAACGAAGGATATGTTAAGGAGTTCAAGGCTTGGATTCTGAGCACTGGGCCCCATCTCAGCTACTTTCCTTTTTAATTTCTGTTTCTTTGTGCTCTTTTAGTGTGTGTTTCCAATGGAAAAACCTATTCCAATGGCGAGTCCTGGCACCCAAACCTCCGGGCATTTGGCATTGTGGAGTGTGTGCTGTGCACTTGTAATGTCACCAAGCAAGAATGTAAGAAAATCCACTGCCCCAATCGATACCCCTGCAAGTATCCTCAAAAAATAGATGGAAAGTGCTGCAAGGTGTGTCCAGGTAAAAAAGCAAAAGGTGCGTTGGTTGGAGGCCCTGCTCTTGGTTGAATGAGATCCACATGTGGTCCTTCCCAACTTTCTTTGGGCATTAGAAATATAATTAATCTGTCATCTAATTGTAATAGTTCTACTAAGAATAAACTTCATTCTCTCTTCTCTTGAGGGGCTGATAGATGGCTACTTGGAAAAATGTACTATTCAGAAATATACTGGGTATTTCCTTCTGTCCACTACATCTCTAATGTAGTTTTAAGTGCTGACCTTACCGTTACTTCAGCAGAGAGTTCAGATTGTCATGATTATTAGAATTAATAACATCTTTCATTTATCACTTTAACTTACCAATGCACAGTCACATGCATTAGACAGGGTCAGAGACAGGTGAGATACACTAGAAGAGAGTGTTCCAAATCTAAGTGGTTGCATGACCTTGAAAATGTGTCATAGCCACTTTGGATCTCATTAGTCATATGTGCAAAGGTTAGAATAATTGGTCTCTAAGCAATCCTTTTTTCTCTTGTTGCCTTTTCTCTTTTTATTTTTTGAGACATAATATTCGAATGTATCATGAGGTATGGTAATTTGATACATGTATAGAATGTATAATTACCAAATCAGGGTAATTATTTCCATTTCCTTGAATCTTTATTATTTTTGTGTTGGAAACATTTGGACTTGTATAGTTATTTGAAATAAATCATAAATTGTTGTCAATTATAGTTACCAAACTGTGTTGTAGAGCACCAGAACCAATTCCTCCTATGTAAGTCTATTTTGGTGTCTGTTATTAGACCTCTCTCTACCTCCCCTCCACCTACCTCCCAACACTAAAATTCTAAAATTATGTTGCTCTGTATTTTTCAAAGACAAGAAAACTGAGGTGTATAAAGTGACTTGAAACTAGTTGATAATAAAACTGAGGCATAGAACTCAGTCACTTCCATCCCATTGTCTTTTCCAGTAGAAAATGTTCACTGCCTTTTTTGAAAAAGGCAAACAATTTAAGTGGTGGTTTTAAGATGTGAGCTACATAAAAATGCAGGCTATAATAATGGAAATGACAAATAATGATATGGCTAATCAAGTATTCTAATCCTGACTTGCCACTGATCTCCTGCATGGTGTAGATTAAGTAAATTTACCTCTTTGAGGCCAAATTTCCCTTTCTGTAAAATCTGAGGGTTAGAGCAGATGGTTGCCTAGACCCCTTCCAGTTCCAATGTGCTTTAATCAATAATGCCCCAGGCACATGAATTCATCATTTTATGCCTTCTGCAAAAATTTTATAGAAACAGATGAAATCCCAAACATTTTCAATGTGGGCAGAGAGCTAAATCATTTATTCCCTCAATTTAGATAATCCCTCATGACTAGAAGGAAAATATACACTTAGTATATATTTACGGAGCATTTTCATGTGGACCAGTTGTTCTCAAACTTTTTGGCATGTCGAAATCCGCAGAGAGCTTCTGAAAACACCTGTATCCCATCCCCAGAGATTATGATGGTTAATTTACTTGAAATGTGGCCTAGGTTTTTGAATTTTTAAGATTCCAAGGCTGTAATAATATTTAGAAAAATTTGAGAGTCATTGCTGTAGGTCCATGATCATTTTGGTCTTGCCAATCAAATTGAAGTTCTTAGATCAGCAGCCTCTGGGAGCTGGTTGCAAATGCTGACTCTTAGAGCTCCCACTCTAGATCTACTGCACCAGAAGCTGCACTGTTTAAAAATCCCCAGGTGAGGCTCTGTAGCGCAATGGATAGCGCATTGGACTTCTAAAAATCCCCAGGCGATTCTAATGTATAGTACATACATTAAAGTTTGATGAGCACTGATTGAGGCACAAAATCTTTCACAACATGAGCCCCATCTTATAGAGTAGATGGGACGGGTATGGACAGGAAGGACATGATCTAGCTGATATGGAGTAGAAGTGAGGCATTAAATTCACATGGGAATGTAGTTATTAATGGTAGGGAGCAAGTGAATTATAAGGATGATATTGGTAATAGGGCCATCCAACCATGATGACCTATTATGACCTCTAACTGTGATGTCACTGAATCCCCAAATCCTTTAACGTCACATAATTCAGTTCTACCAGAACAATTTTCTCTTCTGTCAATGGCCTAACATTTGTAGATTCTTAAAGCATACTTTTAGAGAAAAACAAATGGTTACCTAAAACATCCCATGTAAAATAAATTCTGTCACTGCATAATATTCCAATTTGAATCTTAGTCCTTCAGACCAGATCACACTTCACTTGGTGCTTAGGATTTTATTGAGGCAAATGATTCAAATAAAATGTTGTGAAAGTGGAACATGCCTTCCCTTTTAAACAACTTCTTTCTGAAATTTATAATATTTATTAAAACCTTTGAATAAGCAAATTTACTTCCAGATATCCTAAGAAAGTAATCAAAGATATACACAAAGATAGTCACACAAAGATTTTTGCTGCAGTACTGTTTAAGTAGTAAAAAAATTGCAAAAGAAAAACTGGTTGTTTAAAACAATTTTGTAAGTCCACCAATATGAGAATGGTTAAATTATGGTGTATAGTTGTACTTTGGAATATCATACAGCTATTAACAGTAATTGTAGACTAAGATTTGGTGACATGGGAAGACATTTGTGATATATTAAGTACAAAAGTCAAGCTGAAAAACATGTATACTGTGATCACACTTTTTGTGTTAGAAAAGAAAGTGTATATACATATACGTAAGCATATATGTATGCTTAGATTTGTTTAAGAAGACTGGAGGAAAATACGGCAGAAAGTTCAGAGTGACTAACTTTGGATAACTAAATTATGACTAGTTCCTATTTTCTTCTCTTTTATTTGTATTTTCTAAATTGCATTAGCAAGCATGTATTACTTTCATAATTAGACAAGATGATGTTATTGTTTTAAAAACTATCATCCAGAACACCAATTGGCAATATATGAAACTCTAATTGACTATACCAGTTTCTCTGGAAGATCTGTTTTTCCTGTTTCCCCTCTTCCGCAGATGTGTGGAAGTAGAAAATTTATTGGACAACACAGAAGGTGAGAATATCTGTCCCATTTTGTTATTATCAGTCATTAATACTTCCCTCAGGAACGGTTTCTCAGCTTCTTAGTTCTGGAAGGTGCAGGACAAAGCATTCTCATGGGAAGTAGTAATATCCAGGAGTGATTTCAAGTGTGTCGTGCTTCCCTGGAAAGGAGGAAGAATAGGTAGGCATGGAGAGATCAGAAAGCACCTTGAGTTAGAAAGTGTGCAAAGGGGAAGATGTTGCTGAATAAGTCGTTCTAAAGACAAACTTTCCTTCTTTTCTTTTTTTCAAGTGTCATCCGGGGTTGAGTCACAAATTGGTTTCATTGTTTATATATCCCTTTGGTCTCATAAGTTCAACTCTTCCAGAGGAAGGGGTGGTGGTGCAGGATGACTCTTTTAAAATACTGGGAGCATATTAGAGGTACTTGCAGTGCCATCATGGATTTCATGTCTGTTATACCCATAGCCAATATTAAACTGCTGAGCAAATTTTAACAAATGAACTCATCTCTCATTATAAAGATGATATTTGAAAACACAGAAGTCACTGTACATGCCATAACCTCTTCCACCCACTTGAAACATGCTAACACAGATTCCTTAATTGCCTAACATCATCAAGACTACTGGACTGCCAAAGTAATTAAACAGCTGAAAAGAAAGTCAAATGGAGAAAGTATGATCCTAAGATAATCCACAAACTGAGCAATCCAACCTGGAGTTGTCAAGAGAAGAGCATGGTTTGGTCCTTACAGTGCCAAATGCTGTTGGGGTGGGAAATCTGATCGGGTCAGCAAGACACACACAATAGCAATTTGATTACAACTTCTAGTCCAAATGTGTCTGATTGGCTGACAGTGACTCTCCTCAGTTAGTCACCCATCCAAAGCACTGAACACTCAGTGGTTTCATCCTTAACAATTTAGATATTCTTAGACATGGCTTCTTCACATACTTGGTTTCCAGGGTATCTAAAGTTTCTCTTTGCTGATTTAAATGTACACTTCGAATATGCAGCTGAATAGAGTACTGATTATAAATTAGTAGGGAAACTGAACTCACTGGTAACCAACCAAGAAAAACTTTTCCTAATAGGAGGCTGAGGAAAGGGGAGGGTAGAGTAGAATGGGGAATTTTAGAGGACTGGTACCTTTATGCCAGGGAGCTGAAATTCTGCAGCTTAGTTTCCATATTAAATGATCTATAGTTCACGGATTTGACCAATTATTTTGTCTCCCAACAGTTCATTTGGCTTAACATACAAATAACTAATCTGACATCTAGGTTTTGGCACTGGTACTGATCTGGTATTATCATTCCCCTTACAAACAAATTAAAGAGCATTTAGAAATGTCAAGTCAATTTGGGTAGATCCATTGGGCAAGTGCATTCACATAAATGAGTGTCATAAATGTCTTCCAAGTAAACTTAAATGATGTCAGGGAAGTTAACCAAGTCCCTCTGTCAGCCCATTTCCTGGGCCTCTCTTCTCGACACTGCACTGGGCAGAGCATGATCCTGAGCCAGTATGGAAAAGCCTATGTCCCCTTAAGTGCTTCAGAGATTTCTACCTTGCTACGTTCTTCCTCCTCATGTAAGTTCACTTATGAGTGACTGCAGCAAGCATATACAGGGTCAGTATTCTGTACAACTGTTGGTTCTATCATCAGATGGACTTCAAAGTTTCTATGCTTCTTTGTGATTTGGTGGCTATTAACTGGGGCAGCCTGTCCTGAGGCAATAAAATAACGATGGAATTTCTGTCTCTGTAAGAATGTTCTTATTGACTGCTCACTTTCTATGAGTAAGTGTAAGGTCATAAAAATAATGATATAGCTAAATGTAGAAGTTCACTTGTAGCTTTGGAAAACCATGACCAAACCCTGCTTGCTTCCTGATTCCAGAAGAACTTCCAGGCCAAAACTTTGATAGCAAAGGCTATTTCTGTGGAGAGGAAACAATGCCCGTGTATGAGTCTGTATTCATGGAGGATGGGGAGACTACCAGAAAAATAGCACTGGAGACTGAGAGACCGCCTCAGGTAGAGGTCCACGTTTGGACCATTCGTAAAGGTAAACAACACAACCTTAATTTCTTGTCTTTGTAAAGGGAGAGCAGAAAGGAAGGGAAGACTCTCCTGTACTTAGTTTCACCACGTTTCTGTTCGGGTTGGAAGTTTTCGTGACTGCTTAGAGACTGACATGTTTAACACAGACAGTTGTTATTATGACCTTTCAAATTTAACTATGGTGTGTGGTAAAGATTAAAACCTTTGAAGATCCCAAGGTTGTCTTTCTCATGCCACCAAAAGATAGAGTAGTTCTTAATCCTGGCTGCCTGTCAGAATCATCTGCACAAGTTGTTTTGTTTTGTTTTGTTTTGTTTTGTTTTGTTTTGTTTTGTTTTGTTTAGTGCCAAGTACCTGGGCCCTACCTCCAGAGTCTGATTTGTTGATCTGGGCAGAGCTTGGGTATCAGTGTTCTTTCTTAAAAGCTCTAAAGAGCTTTTGAGAGTTGCAAACTACCAAAATGTAGATTACCTTTCCAGTGTGAAGCTCTCCAGACAGGACAAGCCATTCATTCAATGTGAAGCTAAGTTTCTGAAATCATGCTTTGTACTCTGGGGTAAGACAAATTGAAAGCATTATTCCTTGCCTTCAAGAAGATTGTAATCCCAATCATGATGAGCAATCCCTCTTCCAATTACTCACAATGACTATAACAAACTGCATTTTGTTCACTGTGATCCTACAGCCATTTACACAGTTCTATAGGCAGAAGACTGGTCCTCATAGAGTCTGGTCAACTTCTCTAGTAATTATGTGTACATGTGAGATTTTAACTAGAAAACAATATTCATCCTGCATGGCTCCCACATAAGGTTATAAAGTGTTCAAGTTTTAGGGGGTTTCAGTACTGTGCACAGAGCTGTTTTCATGTGCAGTTACCTCTCTCTATCCCAGAGATGCAAATTCAGCAGGCCTTGGGTAGGGTCTAAATATTTGCATGCTTAAAACATGGCATGGCAATTCTGAATGCAGGTTGCACTCAGGTCATACTTTCTGAGATACTGCTCTTGTATTTATGGAGGGATTTTTTTCTGTCCTTTTCACAATAACGTTTTTCCTCTAAAGAATGTGTTCTTCCCCATGTCTTTAAAAATATGCCATATTGTATATATCATTTTTGCCCATGCTTATTTTGGCTTTATGTGGAAGCATACCCATTTTCCACCTTTCTCTCCATAGCACACCTGTAACTGAGTACCTAGGACAAGGCATTAATCTATTGGCTTCCCCACCATTGAACCTGGTATTTGTTACCGCACATCTCTCCCCCTACTGTAGTGTATGTATGGCTTGCAGCTTGGTAGTGTAACATTTAAACAGTCTCCTGTGCACAAGACTAAATTGTCAAGATCTATGTTTAGTAGCCAGATTAAAACCCAGGCTTCATCTCCTTTGCCTCCTATAGACTCTTCTGGATTATTTAAGTGAGATTATCACATGTTGCTCTTTAACTACTACGCAGTTTTCGGTTGTTTGTCTGTTATTCTATTAAAGCTATTTGAGCAAGGTTCAGACTTTACAGGCCGCTCCACTTTAACTCTCCAAATTCTTTTTAAAAGGGAAGGTTAAATTAGCTATATTTCCTAATGGAAAAAAAACCACAAAACAACGTTTTCCAGTAAGTTCAGGAACAAGGGTAGCTTCTTCATTTACACAAATAGCCTGCCTGCGCTTCTACTGATGGCTCTCAATATTTAGCCAGGAGGGCAGGCTACTGGTTTGGTAAGGACAAAGTCTACCCAGATTTGGAAGAAAGACAGAATTTCTAATACTGTCTTTGGCTGCAGAAGCTCTGACCAGCAGCCATGCTTCAATCCATGTGGCTTTCCCTAGAATGGGGTCCCATGGTCAGCAGCGCTATTATCCTTATCTTCATTCCCTAGACAAGCCAAGGGGAGGCCAGTCAGCCAAGGAAACAAGTGGAGATGATTATAACCCTCTAGATATCCAAGTTCTCGGTTAAGCACATTACACAGCCCAGCTCAGTATTGTTAGTCCCAGTAATGAAACAGTGTGTTCAGCCCAGGCAGCAAAAGGTACTGGTGGATCCAGAAAGAGAGTGCCTGACTGCCTGCCCCACTTTTTGCTTGACCCCAGGAATTCTCCAGCACTTCCACATTGAAAAGATCTCTAAGAGAATGTTTGAGGAACTACACCACTTCAAGCTGGTGACCAGGACAACCCTGAGTAAGTGTTACTTTTCTTTACTCCTCACTGGAAACGTATCGAGTTGTTCAGTGCACCCCTGGCACAACTAAAGTTGCTCTGTATTCTTAGTGAACATTTAAAGTACTCAATATCAACATTAGAGAATATTTTATTTTTCCTTAGGGCGATTTAGCAGCAAATAGGATGTCTGAATGTGAACTGAAAAGCTTGGACATAATTAATACCAACCCAGATGTAGGGTAAGCATAAGCTACCTCAGGTCGAGGATTCCTGAATGTAGTGAATGAAATTGCTAAGCCTAGAATCTCAAGAGGGTTGCAAAAGACTTCACACAAAATATCAGGTCTGGTACAGAAGCGGAGACTTCACGGCTAGAAGGCTATGTTGCTATGTTCTCTGGAGATGCAAATGAGACACAGAAAGAAAAGGAATATATATCAATTCCTGTGTTATATCAAAGTTCTTTGACTCTTTTAGAACTGCCCCTGGGTGGTCATGTTTCTTTAAAAGCACTCAGGCATTCAAGCATACTTGCAACTCTCCCACATTCTACACTAGATGGAGCCTAGGGACTAGATACTGCTAGGCACTGGGAGTGGAAGAGAGCACTTCTAATGGAATAAAAGGCACAGTTTCTATCCACAGGGAATTTTAAGAGACAAGATAGAACATGAAAACACTTTGAGTATGAATTAATATAGTCTGAGGGGTTAAACAGTTTACATGCTCAGGGGAATCTGCAAGGAACAATGAGGTGAGAGCCAAGTGGGTTTAGTTGGGAAGGCTTCGGGGAGGAGGTGTGTTTTGAAATAGAAGGGCGTGACTGCGCTATGGGTCAAGAAATCAGTCCAGGAAGAGGGTGCAGCCTGAGAGAAGATTCAGCCAGGACCAAACAAGAAATGTGGGTGGGGATGAGGAAGGATCACAAAAGCCACAGTGGGGTCTACTGAAAGATGAGAAAGGTTGGTGGGAAGTAGTCTGAGGGCCCAGAAGAAACCAGTGAAAGTTTCACATGTAAGCAAGTAACATAGGGAGTTGCTGAAAAATTACAAACAGCCTACTAGAATCAAACCAGTGCTTTAGGAAGACATCTCTGGGCTTTCAGATAGATTTATTAAGGGCTGGGGATTTAGCTCAGCGGCAAAGCACCTGCCTGGCAAGCGCAAGGTCGTGAGTTCGGTTCCCGGTACCGGAGAAAAACAACAACAACAAAAAAATAGATTTATTAAGCACCTACTTTTTTGAAACCAGATTTAGAGAGTCTCATTTCCTACGCTAACAAGTTGGATTTGATCTCCAGATCAGAGAACAATGGCTGGGTTTTCTAATGGATGGTACATGTATATCTGTTTTTAGAAAGAGACACTTGCTGTGTGAAGAAATGGACTATAGGTGAGAGAGCTGACAATAGATTCAATTAGGAAGCTATCATACTGAAGTCAGTGGGATGGTGAGGAAAGTTCAGTAAGACAGTCATTTCTTGGGTTTAATTATCAAAATTGGTGTGAAAGAGAGAAAGGAGTTTGGGATGACTCCAATATTAACAACTTTATACAGTGAGTGAATAGTAATGCCATTCACCAATGGGAAACTCTGAAGAAGTATTGGTGAAGAGTTTCACTTGAAATATTTGGATTAAAATACTTATAGGCCATCAAAGAAAAATTATCCAATAGGCAACTGGAAATAGAGTTGATGAGGTCAATTGTTTTTCTTGCAGAACTAATAGAAAGTAAAATGAATAGTGTGAGTATTCAAATGAAGGTATTGGAAGTAAGGAATAATGGAGGCAGGGTCTAAGATTCCAGGATCAAAAATGTGACTTCTGAAAATACTATTTAATTTTGAAGAATACATTTTAGTTCATACTGTGAACAAGGCACTGTGCTGTGATCTAGATGACTTGAGAGATGATTTAGACATACTCTTTGCCCATTAGCCATTAGGATTTGGGGTATACAGTGAAACCAGATGGGGTGTGCCTCAAACTGTGCATCTGGAAGAAGTGAGATCTGTGAGAACCGCAGGCATGAAGAGCAAACCCAATTCCTTTATGCACTGTGCCTAGCAGAGTCTGGCATCTCGGGGCTTCCGTGAAAGCTAGTTCCTTGCCCAGATCTTCTTTTCCTTCTCCCTCTACCTTCCCATTGCATCAGAGAGAATAGGAAAAAGTGAGGAACCCAAGGGAGAAAGGAGCAGAGATCAAGTTTCAAGGAGAGGGAATCATGTTCTCCTGTGGCTGGGGAAAGCAAAGCAGTTCAAAATACATTTAGAGTGAAGAAGAGTTTACTGACCTTGGACCAGTAGTTCTCCAGTTGTATTTGAAATCCTCTAGTGATTAGATGAGTAAGTAGATGGGAAAGACGAGGTGGGAGATTCCATTGACTCTGCTGTCCTCTTACACTTTCCTGCCCTTCTGTGTTTGGTTTTTAGGCCAGTGGAAGATATTCACTGAAGGAGAAGCTCAAATCAGCCAGATGTGTTCAAGTCGTGTGTGCAGAACAGAGCTTGAAGATTTGGTCAAGGTTTTGTACCTGGATAGATCTGAAAAGGGTCAGTGTTAGGCAAGTCAGATAGTAATAGACAGGGTCAAGCAAGAAAACTCAAGCTGCAGCTGGACTGCCGGCTTATTTTGCTTAAATCAACAGTACCCTACAATCCAACTCAGATGCAGTCAGTTATTCACGCCATGCATAGCATAACTTGCTCCTTTATGTGGAGTGGTGTGTCAGCCCTTAGCCATCTCCTCTAAAGAGACTAGCAGAGTCTTGAATGATTTGTGGGAGGAGGAGGGATAGAATACCACAACACAGCTCTAGTTTCTTGGAGAATCACATTTCTTTACATGCTAAGGAACAAATGAAACCCCAGGGTTTCTATCTTAAAAGTTATTCAAAGGAAAGAAAGAGAAGGGAATTGCTTAGTAGGAGCTCTGGAGAATAGAGCAGTTATTTGTATGAAATGATACTCTTTGAATGTTAGAAATCTTTTGTTCTTTAAAAGAAAATGAATTGCCCATCCTTGCATATGCACATGCGCGCATACACACACGCGCGCATACACACACATGCGCGCGCACACACACACGAAACTACAGCCTCTGCACTGAGGCAAAGCCAGCCTAGATTCTGCCTTTCTCTGCCTGAAAGACCTTGGAGGTGGTTGGTGTCCTAAGAGGACAAATGAAGCCTTTTAAACAAAAGGCTCTGTTCTTAAGCCTCTGAGCTGGCCGTTGAACTCAGTAGCTATAGGGGCAGAGTGAAGACAAAAAGCAGCATTTCTGATCTCATTCACTTTTAGGTGGTAAATAACTTTTCCTTACTGATTGCCCTTCTTTCCCCTCATCCTAAGAAGCCTCTAAAGAGAAGTTACAATTGGGTACTATTAGCAGAAACTGAATCGATATAAACAAAATAATTGTTGATGAAAGGAACTGATAAAAGTCAAAGACCCTGTCTTATTTTTGCAGCAAAAAAGTCCACCAGTTAGTAGATCAATATTCACTAATTTTCTTGAAGCTGTACTTGTCTAGCCAGAAAATGTAGGCAGAATTACTAAATTCTAGAAGCCCCTTAGAAGGGCAGTTTTCCTTCTTCAAGATTTGGGTTTTTTACTGTGCAAAGAGGCTCAATCTTTACGAGCTTCTGAATGTTGGCCCTTCAGTTAAGAAAGCTGCCTTTCATTTGAGAATTCTGATAAAGCCATTTATGCTAAACCTTCCTACTATGTTCACCTTATCCAACAAGCATGGATTTGAGTTAGGGATTCTATGAATAACTGTTCATAAAATGTCTATGTGCAATCCATACTAGAGCATAAATTACCAACTGTGAGGTCTGGCTGTAGACATCATCTTTGTGGGAGAACTAAATTTTTCACAAAAAAAGATCTCAAGCATGCCTCTGGATCTGTTCTCTCTGATGGTCATGAATGAACTCTAGTGAGTACTAAGAAATATGAAGGACTCAGAAGTCCTGTATTTTCCACTCTGTGATGATAGGTGAGACAACATGTTTTCTCTTAATGAATTTGACACAAATAGGTGGAAACATAAAAGGTCTGGTGTTAACAGCAATCTGCCATAAAAGTCTGTTTTTTGTAAATGAATACAATCCCTGTGGCCAGAAATTCATGGAATAATCCTTTCACCAGCCCACCACAAACATTCTCCTCAAGAGAAAGAGGCAGGACATCCTGGGCTCATAAGCCACAGAGTGTTATGGGGGACATGGTATTAACAGCTGCTGCCTCCCTTTCAGAGAGGAGTAACTTCCATAGCACAGAAACCGGTAACTGGATCCTGAAGCAAAGTGGTGATTCCACTTCTAGATGCTTCACCATGAAGCCTTCTTATCCAGGTGTTCTCTTAATGCTCAGCCTTAAGAGAATATCCAGAGTGCTTCCCCAGATAGGTGCCTTACTCCTGGTGCTGGGTCACATCTTTCCAGAGTGTTGTGGGAAGCAGGAGCTGGTGAGCTATGTCAGTGAACGTAGAAACCTTCCAGTGTTCGGTGTCTGTAGAGAGTAGGTCGTAGGAAAAAGGCCAAGCCACCTGTAGTTAGCAAAGAAGAATGAATGTGGTTCTTCTTGTGTATTTATTTGTATCATAAACACTTGGAACAACAAAGACCATAAGCACCATTTCACAGTCATAGCCATTTTCTGGTTAGCTCATGTAAACAAGTAAGAATAATATGACAATATTACCCTTTCACTCTTCTCATAGGACATGTACCTCAAAATGGTACTTATTTAAGTAGTCACTGTATTTCTGGATTTTTAAATTAATAAAAATTTTAATTTTGAAAAGTCATCTGCAAGCAAGTGGCATGTGTGATTGACTCTCCATCATTGCTGACTTTTAATTAGATCGCAGGGGATGGGTGCGCCTCATGCTTTCACAAAGCCGGACACACTTCTCATGCTATAGCGTGGTGTTTACAGTGTGATCTCTGCAGTCAGACTACAGGGATTTACAGTTTTCTATTAGTGCATGTTTTTAGTACACAATGGTTCCATTCCTCATGGGGAATCGGTACATTGACATAACACATCTTCAGTCTGTTTTCATCCCCTTCTCCTTCCATCCCTCCCCTGTCCCTCCATATCTCGGTCACTTTCTCTTTTGCAAAATATCTATCTCACTGTTTCCTACTATCTGTCCTTTATTCTGCCCTTTAATTTATGTATATTTTGGGTTACTCATATAAACAAACCGTGTGATATTTAAGCTTGTGTGTCTGAATTATTTCACTTAACATTATGGTCCCAAGGTGCATCCATTTCCCTACACATGACTCAGCTTTGTCCTTCTTTATGGCAGAGTCTATGTGTCTAGTGCCACATCTTCTTTATCCACTCATCTGCTGATGGACTTATAGGCTGCTTCCAAGTTTTAGCTATTATGAGTTCTGCTATTATATACATGGGTATGCATGTATCTGGGATTTCTAAGCCAGCTCTACATTTAGCAGCTGTGTTTGTCAACCTTCCCAGTCATGAAATGGGATAATAGAGGTACTCATGCCCTTTGCCTGCAGTCTTACAGTGAGGTTTAACTTAATTAATGCATCTTAAGTGATTAGAATGCTGTCTAGTACATGGCAAGCATTCATTAATGACCATAGATGTTGAAGACTGCCATGGCATGAAAATTGAGCATTGGCTTCTGAACTCCCTTTGGGCCACTGATTTGGGCTTCAAGGGGACCTGTTACTTACAGTGTTTTTCTATAAAAAATTTATAGGGAGTATGGTAAGAGTTTTGTCACACCTTTTGATCCAAACTAAATTCCCTCAGACCTCCAATAACAGCTGAATATGTGTTATCACAGAAGTCAAAATATGAGAGTGCTTTAAGACTCATGTGTCAAAGACTGCTGAGATATCAGATACTCTTAGGACACAAAAGTATGCACTAGAACTGGTAGCATGGAAGACAAGAGGTATTCCTAGAGTGATGGAAGCAGAGGCCTATTGGAGTGGATTGTAAGAAGTGAGAGGAATGATTGCTATGATATCAAGAAAACTTTGGAGAAGTTGCACTGCAAGAGATAGGGAATCACAGTGAAGGAAGTAGCTGGGAAAGAAACAAAGGCAAAGGAAGTCATCTTGTTTTAAATGTGAGAGCTATTTACCCTGGGGGGCAGATACTATAGAAAATAAGAGACAAAAGAGACTAGGAAGTAAAAGGGAGTTAGCCTGCTGTGTGAGGTGGATAAGAAGTCATTCCCCCACCATGTGGCATCCCCAGACTCAATTCCAATGCATAACCTGGATGGAATCTGGGTCTTCATATGCCAATCCCTTATGTTTTTAGAATTTATTTTAAGAATAAAAGAAGGAAAACAAATTAACAAACAGACATCCATTTACAAAACAGCATAAGAACAACGCATGCAATACAGAGTTACAGACAAAGTGGTAGGAAATTGACAGTGGTAGTGGTATTACATACTGATATCTTCAAAGTGGGTTCTCAGGAAAAAAAATAGACCTGTAAAGTTGATCAAATAATTAATCATTACTTGTTCCTTTCAGTAAAGCAATAGAAGTCAGTAGTACAACTATGCTAGTTATCCTGTATATACATACATACATACATAATCTCCCCTTCTTTCTTTTCTCTGTTCCCTCAGCCCAGTTGTTCTTTTGAGCATTTTCCTTTCATTTCACAATGTCTGTCATACCTCCTAATTTTTATTCACTCTTTCAGGTTCTTACATTAGTGAGACAATATGCTGCTTACATGTGGAGGTCTGGTTTATTTCACTTATGAGTGTGGTCTGTAGTTGTGACCACTTACCTATAAAGGTCTCGAGTTTTTCTTTCTTTATAGCTGAGTAATATTCCATTATATAAAAGTACCACAATTTTTTTATCCATTCCTCAGTGGATGGACATTTGGATTGCTTTCACAATTTAGCAATTACACATTGCGCTGCTATGAACATGGGTGCATATATATTGCTGTGATATGATGTTTTCAGATCTTCTGGAAAAATACCCAGAAGGGAAATAGCTGGGTTGAATGGGACCTCTAGACCTAGTTTGCTGAGGAATCTGACTTCCACAGTGGTTTCACCAGTCTGCATTCCCACCAGCAGTGGAGAAGAGCTCCTATTTCTCCACAGCCTTGCCAGCATTTGTTATTGGTTGATTTCTTAATGATAGCCATTCTTACTGGAGTGAGATGAAATCCCAATGTTGTTTTAATTTGCATTTCTCAAATGACAAATGATTGTGAACATTTTCTCATCTATCTATTTGCCATTTGTTTCTTTATCTGAGAAGTGTGTGTTCATCTCAGATGCCCATTTTTGGATTGGGTCATTCAGTTGAGGGGAAGGCTGATGTTTTTTAATTCTTTATATGTTCTAGATAGAAGACCTTGGTCCGAGGGACAGTCAGCTAAAATTTTTTCCCAATTTGTGGGTTTTCTTTTTACTCTGCTGGCAGTTTCTTTGGATGTGCAGAAACTTTTCAGTAGGATGAGATCCCAGTTGTTGATTCTTTGAAGGATTTCACGTGCAGTTTGGTTTTTGTTCATGAACTCTCTGCCTACCCTCACAATCCCTGACCTGAAATTATACTACATAGCTACTGTGATAAAATCGACATGGTCATGGCTAAAAACCAAACCAGAGGATCAGTGGAACAGACTGGAAGAAGGAGGTACAACCACAAACACACTCAGCCACCTAATCTTTGACAAAGGGGTCAAACAAACTCACGGGGAGAACAACAGTCTCTTTAATAAATGGTGCTGGAAAAATTGGCTTGCCACCTGCCAAAGACTGAAAATAGACCCAAGTCTATCACCATGCACCAAACTCAAGTCAAAATGGGTCACAGATCTCAATATAAACCAGAAACACTAAATCTATTGGAAGAGAAAGTAGGTAAAAATCTTGAAGCCAATCCCTTATGTTAAGCTGCACATTATTCTGCCAATCTCTGCTGGCTTGGTCCTCCTTTACCCCCACTTATTTTCTTCTAGAACAATGGGCTATAGATCCCAATATTGCTCCACCTGCACTGAGGGAACTTCACATAATTCAAACTAGACCTCTTCCCTCCATTTTGTACCCTTCCCTTTCCCTAATCAGGCCCATCCAGGTTTCACCCAGTCCTGTCAATTTGATCTCCTGAGTGTAGGCGGTGCTTACAGGTTTTTGCTCTTAACTTCTCTTGTCATATTCATTCTCCCATATAGTCTGTTCTCACCTGGCCATACCATGATTCTCAAGAATCACCAAAGATCATCTCTTTTGCGTTCAAAAGGAAGTCCTTACTACCATGTTTTCCACCTTTTTATTCCTTTCTTGCTTTTACTTGTGAAGGGGTTCAGAATATACAACATAAAAATGTTGCATATTCTGGTTATTTAGAGCTAAAGGCAGTTGAGACTCAATACCTGCAGGAAGAGTTCTCTGGCCTACTCTTATCTGCCTAAAAGCAGGGCATAAATTACTCTTTGAGAAACAGTGCTCTTCCCCTATACCAAGGAGAGAAGAGAGTCTCATCACTGAAGATAGAAAGTCAACAGCAAGATGAGTTTGTATACATACAACTAACCAAGATAGCCTTTGTCATTCATTAGTTGCCCCATGTGAATTATATTTCCTGTTCACTTCCCTACAGTTTGTCATCACCTGAAACCCAAACACTGTCCTTTGTTAAAAGGGTATATACTACAATCTCCTAAGTCTAACTGCAATTTTGATTTTCACTTCCTTTCTGTGAACTTCTGTGCATGCAAATATTAATAAAACTATGTGCCTTTTCTTCTGCTCATCTGTCTTTTCTTGCTTTAACTAATAGGCCCACAGTCAATTAACATAACAAAGTTTTTCCTCTCAAACATCTCGCTCTACGAAAGATACTGCTAGAAAAAATGTCCCGCATCTGTACACCTCTAACAGTCACCACTGCTGCCAGCTGTGCAATTTATGGGGCCTCTTTGTTCCAGCCTGCAGGTGCTGCAGCAGCGGTGGTGCTCAGAATCCTCTGATCCTTTTTGTTCCCAGGGGTACTGTGCCCTGTGCACAGGTGAGAGAATGTTCTACTCCCTCTCTACCTTTGAAGTTATTTTGTCAGTTTATATTAAAGCAGCCAACAATTTTTTTAATTTTTGTTTTTGCAGTCCTCGGAATTAAACGTAGGACCTTCACAGTGCACCAAACCTCCGGATTTTTTTTTTTTTTTTTTTTTTGAGACAGTGACTTGCCTAGTTACTAAGTTGTCCAGGCTGGGCTCAAACTTGAAACCATCCTTCCACAGCCTCCCAGAGTGCTGGGATTACAAGGATGTACCACCATGCCCAGTCAAGAAATAATTCTTGAGTATTACATGCACCAATGGAGAACCTCCTTATGCCTTAGTGTCTCATAAATGCTTCATAGAATGAAACCCTTCAGGTCCCACTTTCAGCCCTTCTTAGGACTCAGTTGCCACTGTGTAGTCTCTGCTGAGCACAAGCTTCCAAGATGCACATATGACTATCCTCCAAGTCCCTTTCCCTTTTGGAGCATATGATCTAATTCCATTTCCCACTGCAATCCTCATTTAAATTGACCTCAAGAACCCCACCCCATCAATCCATGAAACACATTTGAAACCTCCAAGTGGAAGAAGTGGACTCTGGAATTGAGTAATCCAGCTACAAAACGTAGTCCCCTGAATATTTCATCCACACATATAACTTTGTGCCTTTGTGTGTATTCTTCCTACCACTATCATGTTCTTCCCTTTTCTTTGACTGGTGAACTCCTACTCATCCTTCTAGACCCAGTCCAAACATCACCACCTCTATGGAGCAT